AGACTATAATGCTGGTATTTTAATACGATTCTTCAAAAAAGTGTACAAGTGTAAATGAGGTGTAAACAGTTTTGACAGAATGATGAATTCTTGCACATGTCAGATACTTTATGCTAAGACAAAGGGAGAAAATTTTCTTTCTTTAACATAACTTGATATATTATTGCAGGTTCTCCAGTGTTTCAATGCAGATTATAAAGCTATCATTTATCATGTGCAATTATTTATAAATACTGAATGTGGTGTTGCAATGCACCTGCTGTGACAATACAACTGTATTGAAAGGCTCTCAGGTTCTGGGCTTAAAACTTGACTAAAGTCGTACATAATTCTAGTATTACCAATATAACTGTTGTCTGCTGCTGAATTTTATATAACAAATAATGTTTTCCGTTGCTCTTACATTACATTAAATAACTTAATGGACTTTTGTAATTATTTAAAAAAAACAATTTATCTATTTTAGGGGAATCATTTAATCTGGTGGATCCATAAGCAATCATCCTTTGCCAGTAAAGAGCCAGGCTTACCTGCATATCAGGCTCTGTCCTATTGGAAACTCAATTATCAGGTCAAAAGGTCAAGGTCAATTGTATCTGTAATAGCAAAACATAAAATAGGTCATTAAGTCAAAGAACAGTTTACTATTCAATTTTGATAAAATTGAAGTGTGCTGCTCTTCAGGGTGATCATTATTATGTTGTATATTGATATTGAAAGTTTGTATAGACTGCTCAAATTAATTTCAAAGAAATTTAGAATCATCACACCAATTCACCAGGTTAAGTGTTTTAATGAGAACCTTCGTCACACAAAATGGGTACACTAGCTAGCCTGATTTTGCACTAGTGACAAATTGTTATTTTGCTATTTCGGGGTAAGAGTAATAAGAAGTTTTGAAGGAACAAAATTCTAAACAAATTTTATAAATGACAGGCAGGAAACAAAATGAATGAATTGATTCATAGGTACTTTAAGTACTATAGTTTAACCATATAATTTCATGTGTTATGCCCTATTCTTGTTGGAGGTATTGACATCAGCTTTCTTTCATTAAGCAATTTGCCGTAAATCTCAGAATCTTGTCAATGAATGTGCAGTAACAGTTTATTGTAGTGGTACAATTGTGAGTTAATACGTAATTTTCATGATGCATTTGCATGATCACACAGCGCAAAAAGAAATGCTTAACTGTTTTGAATTGTAAATGAATGTGTACAATGGTTTCCGAGCATAAAATGTGAACAGTGAACCTTTACGGAATGATAAATATTTTGTGCATTTGTTTGCACTCGCATTTCCTGAAGGCCTGGCATTTATAAACCTGTTAGGTGCAAATTTATCGTTTTAAAACACATTTGTTCAAGATCAGCTGACACGCTTGCTTCCTGTTTATGAAAGTATAATGTAAGTGAGCAGTTGCCAAAGCTAAGTAGAAGTGAAATCTGTTCATACTTCAAGTTAATTTTCATAAATTTACCATTATATACTTTTTTACTGTTGGCAGAGAGAATTGTTGCAGTCTAATGATGTCAATTCTCCCAGAATAATTCAGCAAGATCTGTTTGATGACTTATTTCAGTGCTTCTCACTGTTTATTTTCTTGTCCTTTCACTAGATGTCTCTTTTGTATGATTACTATGTATGTTAAATTGTCAATTTATAAAACATATTCTCTTTTGTATAAATGTAATAGGTATGTTAAACAAACACTGATTTTGTTTTATAAAACATGGTAGAAGATACAGAAGGTGTTGAAGTATAAATTTTCATGTTTGAATATTGAATTCCTCTTGGGTTATTGCCTCTTGGGTAATTGAATTTACCAATGCCATCAATAAACAGGGTCAAACAAACTGACCCAGCAAACTTTTTAACATTGCCTTTATGGGCAACCGGTTTTAACCATTGTTCCAGTCCCAATAAGATATACTCATTTAAGTCAACTAAATCTCTGTAAAGTTATCCTAAGTGAATTGCAGGTTTAATAATTACTCCATCTTCTACAACCATTTCTTTTTTAGACAGTAAGAACAGACAATATCTTTTGAGCATTTCAAATGCGAAAGTGGAAAGTCTGAAAGTGGACAATAAGAACTGTTTTACATTTTGGGTTTAATATATTATTGTTTTGTTTTTTTTAAATTGAGAGGGGCGTTTGAGGCTAAGAGGTTTCAATTGTTGACTTCAAAGAACTTGCCTTTCATGGCTGTGATTGTTTGTATCCTCATTGGAACTTTGGATTTTTAATGTGAGGAAGCTATACAGCTAGCTTACTGAATGTCAGTAGTTCTACTCATGTGCCTTTCTTTGCCTGAAATAATGCACGTAGGGGCACCAGAGGTCTTCCTTCACCAATAATGCTGGAAGGTCGCCACCTTTAGAGTGTCATTGTGATTTAAATTGCAATCACTGGGTCAGTCAATCATTTTTGTAAGTGAACAATTAGAAACTGTTAATTAGATTTATCAGAAACTGTTATAACTGATACGGTTGTAGGTGTGAGAAATGTTTTTAGGGAAATTTAGACAATATCTTGTTTATAATGTTAGAAGTCTTGCTGTTGTTGTTGTTGTTTTACACTCAGAGTGAGAACAAACAAATACACCATTGTGAATTCATTAACATGTGGTAATAGTAAACAAACCATTATTTATTTACAAAATACATATTTTATATTCATCTTACAGGATCAATGTGCATGACTCATTTCCTTTATAATAATAACATGTAATAAAGTGGTCATAAATATAAAATGATTTTATTATAATCAATCTCTTCATCAAACAAGGAACACACACAAGAAAGGGACAGGCCTGGTAGTCATGAAAGTTGTGGGAAAACTGTTCTAGTTGAATTATTTTCTATATAGCATTGTCTTTCCCTTCACATATAAAATAACCCATGACACAAGTTTCCTTCAATCATGTATAAACTACATCAGAATTAAAGCTTTGTTAAGACTAGTAAAGGACACTTGAGAATGAATATTTCAGATTTAATATGTTGAAGTGTCTTAACCATAAAATTCCTAATTTTTTTCCGGGAGAAAAGTATAATGATGCTTTTGACATTATGGAAAGTAAAAAGAACTGTTAGGGCAGACAGCCTACACAACTACAAATGTATACCGTTGTTATAGTGATCAAAACATGCCATTATACCAAGTAAAAGAATATCAAAATGAAATTTAAGAATATATAAATAATAAATTCTCTTTGTGCAGAATCTGTACTTAATGCTAAAGGATAATACTCAAGATTGTATGGGAGTCACAGGGTCAGAAAAAAGTGCAGCCTGACTAGGACTTGAACCCCGGGACCCTGGGAATACAGTTCCGTGGCTCTACCGACTGTGCTATCCAGTCGCTTACACATCTTCTCCCCTTAATTGTGAACAGTTCTGAACCATGCAATCAAACCATCCTTTACAGATAGGCATTAGATGAACAAAATATCGCTGTCCATGGAAGTAATACAAATTGTTTATTTTTGTAAGAAAAAAAATTGTTTGAAGTAATTTGAAACATAATAGACTCAATTTTTAATGGGCAAGATTGTTTTGCCAGTTTACCTGCCCACTATATGGACAGCCCCATGTTAATGTTCTCAAAATTGTGAAAATTTCTTACTCTGTATTGGTTTTCCAGCTGTTAAAATTACAAACTGCATTGCTTTCAAATTGTGAAAGCTTGCAGATGATTGGCTGTTTGCAAGTACTAGAAGGTAACGTCCAATTGTTGCCAGTCAGATCCTAATTTGTAGTGTTAATAAGGAGCTGATTTTAATCAGATTGGGTGAACATGTATTCATACTTTGTACATGAACATGTTTTTGAATATTTTTGCTTATTTTTGGATTTTCATTGGCAATTTTGTATAATCCATAATCACAAATGAAAGGTGAACTATACCCTGTAAACATGCAGTGGTTGGGCCAACCACGGAAAATCGTCATAGGAAAATCGTTGTTGGGCCATGGTTGGCCCAACTCTAATTAACATGTACTATAAATGCAGTTGTTGGCCCAACGTCGAACCAACTATATGTTACGCCAGCGACATTTCTGTATTGGCCCACTAACGATAAATATGTACTTTAAAACAGACGTTGGGCCAACGTTTGACCAACGATACATTTTCGTCAAATATATTAATTACTGCACCTTACCCAAAATTTATTTTTTTAAAGACAGATATGTATGTAGATATTTTACTGTATATAAACAGTACACTACAATGAGTAAAGACTAAAGTTTATAATGTTTTTTTTGAAGCCATGTTCAATATTGTCACATTCAAGAAATACTCATATAAATTAAATGAGAAATGTAAGAAATAATTACTTTTTGAGTCTAGAAATGACCAAAGCCCATGCTATGCAGTATTAGGGGATATGTATCAATAGATCTATAGAAATCTTGAAGATCTGATGTATAATCTAAAGCAATTATACATGTGCTGGAATAACCATAATAAACCTCCGGAATCTTCCACTCTGAACTCTAATTAACCTCTGGTTATGTTATCAATGAATGAAAAATTTTGGCACTACCCATCCTTTCCCTCGCTTGATTTCGAAGCTGCGTGGACGTGTTTACAGATAGATCTAAATAAATTTGTATTAGACTGCAATTTTTCAACACTGAAAAATGTAAGTAGATCTAGGTGTTTTACTTTAATCTTTTAAATAAACCCTTCTAATATAGTAATGTATTTAAACCTGCACGGAATTAGTGTTTTAAAACCTGTTATACTATCCACGTGACCAGGTCATGTGATTAATACAAAATGGCGGATTGGTAAAGGAAAATACAGGTAAACAAGCCAGAATGAATTTGATTTTTGTAATGAAATTAAAACCATTTAATTCTATCAGTGTTTATCAGCTTTAAATATGATATGTTTATAGTTTTACATCTGAATTTATTGTGATAACTGCAAAAAAATTGCAAGTTAGTAAAAATTGACAAGCTACAATTCTCATACAATCTGTTTCTGAGTATAAATAGGTAATTATGATTGATTATGAGTTATTTGCAAAATTCTGCTTTGTTACTAGACTTTTTAACAGTTACACCACTCATTGCAGTAGAGTGTATACGAAACTTTGTGTAAATTTAATTTGAAGTGTAACTTCGCATTAAACACAAATTACTTTACCCGACTGCAAAAATTGTTTTTATTTCATTTCAGACAGCAAATTTATGTCTAATTGGGAGAGCATTGTTCGCCATGTTATGTCTCACACTTTGTCTCAGGAAGTTGCCCTAGAATACAACTGGGTTGGAAAGGGCTGGAAAAAACCATTCGAAAAACTTAGACTTAAAAAAGTCATATAAGGTTTGTATTTTTACTTTTTCAAAGGTGCTAGAAAATTATTTTACACCGTGGGTGTAAGATGTGACTCTTGTGTTGTAAATGATCATCATAACTCTATTTGTATTTTGACAGAATTATGCCCCTTTTTAACTTAAACATTTTAGGTTGAAATTTTTAATTATGTCAAATATCTCTGTTACTATTAAATCTATTGACTTGTAATTTAAAATATTTCTTTACTATCAAAGTCTTATCCCCTTAGCTCTATTTGCATTTTGACAGATTTATGTGCTTTTTTACTAGTAAATTATAATAAGTAGTGTATCTTTAAATAAAATCAGTAAACTGTATAAATTTCAGATGCTGTAAGAGGAAGTAGACAGGGGTTTACTAATAATGAAATCGAGAAGACAATGAAGGAGTGCCTAAGATATGCCAAGGATAGGGAAGGCGGGCGGAGGAAGAGATTGACTAAAAAGTTGCAACAACAAAGAGAAGAAAATGAAAATGATATGTGAACAACATTTAGTAATAAATTGTAGTAATTAGTATATATTTTGTTCTTTTATGAAAACAAGGCATTGGGCCAACAAAGGGCCAATGTTTATTGTAGGAAACCAGTCAGTGGGCCAACGGGGGGCCAACAAGAAGAAGGGAAACCAGTTGTTGGGCCAACAGAGGGCCAGCGATAGGAAGGAAAACCAGTCATTGGGCCAATGGAGGGCCAACGATAAGAGTAGGAAAGCAGTCGTTGGGCCAACCATATACCAACCGTTGGCCCAACGTTGCCCCAATTAGCAAATTGACATTGGGCCAACGTTGGCATTATGTGTTGGGCCAACAAAGCAAATGTAATTGGCCCAACGTTGGGCCAACTACTGTCTGCTATCTGGGTATCTCTTTATTGCCGAAAAATGAATTTTAAACATGCCTGCTTTCATAAAATGAAGCCTGTGATCACATTGTTCAACTTGTGTGTTCATGCTTATTAAGCATATCTTACACAAGAAGCACAGAAGTTAAACTATGCTTCAGGTAATATTTTCCAACTTGAAAAGATTTTAAAAGTCATTATTTTTCCGAGTTTATGTTATAAATTGATAGGCGGATCTAACATGTGAGAAGACGTGTGGTGTGGAACAGCATTTTACTCTTTTAAATGACTCAATAATTACTATATATCCGAACAGAAGTGTTAAATCTCAAAAGAAAGGCAATGGCTTACACATGTTTAACTTGTTATTTTAAACATGTTGATCTTTTTACTGAAGTTTGTTTACATTATCATATTTTAATGTAATTTTCATGTTTCCCTATCGCTGAACTTTAACTTATGTTCTTATAATTGCTGTTTCTAGCTTCCAAACTTTGTGAAACATAATTTTTCGAGATTTTCACATATGTGTTAAAGAAACATTAGGGGAATAGTTGAGATTTTTTGGTGAGACTCATTAGTAAGGTGAAGTATTTGATGTACACATGTTCTATGGTATGACAAAAAAGTGAGCATATTGAGAGACTGTGAATGAGTCTTCTTTGATGTGACAGATATGTTTAAAATAGGACATTAAGCTGACAGTAACTGTTCTTATATTGAGTACTTTTTAATTACAACATAATACAAACCCTCTAAACATGTGTTTTAAATATGTAAAATTATTTTGTCATGTGTACTGATCTTTTCATACTTTATTCTGATAATGACTGTGTTGACTGTTGAGAATGAAGGGTTGTGTTGGGTATTTAGATATAGTGTGGGCATGGAAAAAATCAATAAATAGTTGGGAAAGGTATTGTTCAAATTTAAGGTTGAGCATTTGAGTATTGCTCATGTGTGATACCATTGTAATACTTAGCATTTAAGTATTGCTTATGTGTGATACCATTGTAATACTGAGCATTTGAGTATTGCTCATGTGTGATACCATTGTAATACTGAGCATTTGAGTATTGCTCATGTGTGATACCATTGTAATACTTAGCATTTAAGTATTGCTTATGTGTGATACCATTGTAATACTGAGCATTTGAGTATTGCTCATGTGTGATACCATTGTAATACTTAGCATTTAAGTATTGCTCATGTGTGATACCATTGTAATACTGAGTATTTAAGTATTGCTCATGTGTGATACCATTGTAATACTGAGTATTTAAGTATTGTGCATGTGTGATACCATTGTAATACTGAGTATTTAAGTATTGTGCATGTGTGATACCATTGTAATACTGAGTATTTAAGTATTGTGCATGTGTGATACCATTGTAATACTGAGTATTTAAGTATTGTGCTTTAAGTATTGTACATGTGTGATACCATTGTAATACTGAGTATTTAAGTATTGTACATGTGTGATACCATTGTAATACTGAGCATTTAAGTATTGTGCATGTGTGATACCATTGTAATACTGAGTATTTAAGTATTGGTCATGTGTGATACCATTGTAATACTGAGTATTTAAGTATTGCTCATGTGTGATACCATTGTAATACTGAGTATTTAAGTATTGTGCATGTGTGATACCATTGTAATACTGAGCATTTAAGTATTGTGCATATGTGATACCATTGCAATACTGAGTATTTAAGTATTGCTCATGTGTGATACCATTGTAATACTGAGCATTTAAGTATTGTACTTGTGTGATGCCATTGTAATACTGGGTATTTAAGTTTTGTGCATGAGTGATACCATTGTAATACTGAGCATTTGAGTATTGCTCATGTGTGATACCATTGTTATACTGAGTATTTAAGTATTGCTCATGTGTGATACCATTGCAATACTGAGTATTTAAGTATTGCTCATGTGTGATACCATTGTAATACTGAGCATTTAAGTATTGTGCATATGTGATACCATTGTAATGCTGAGCATTTAAGTATTGTACATGTGTGATACCATTGTAATACTGAGCATTTAAGTATTGTACATATGTGATACCATTGTAATTCATGGTATTTAAGTATTGTACTTTAAGTATTGTGCATATGTGATACAATTGTAATACTGAGCATTTAAGTATTGTACATATGTGATACCATTGTAATTCATGGTATTTAAGTATTGTACTTTAAGTATTGTACATGAGTGATACCATTGTAATTCATGGTATTTAAGTATTGTACTTTAAGTATTGTGCATGTGTGATACCATTGTAATACTGAGCATTTAAGTATTGTGCATGTGTGATACCATTGTAATACTGAGCATTTAAGTATTGTGCATGTGTGATACCATTGTAATACTGAGCATTTAAGTATTGTGCATGTGTGATACCATTGTAATACTGAGCATTTAAGTGTTGTACATGTGTGATACCATTGTGATGCTGAGCATTTAAGTATTATACATGTGTGATACCATTGTAATTCATGGTATTTAAGTATTGTACTTTAAGTATTGTGCATGTGTGATACCATTGTGATACTTGTTAAGTTTTGTACATGTTTAATACCATTGAAGTACTTAGTTATATTTAAGTTTTGTTCTTGTTTTATATCATTGTAAAACTGGATTCAATCCAATTGAATTTAATTGTGAATACAACATTATTTTATGACTTCTGTATGAAGGATGACTTTATAGTTTATCAATATTTCAGTTTTTGGTCAGATGCCAGTCAGTGTCATTTAAGATGACGGAACCATCTTTGATGCAGTCTCTATGGCACCAGATTTAACATATAATTTAAGAATTCCTATTTCCTAAATTTTTATGGAAAAATATATAATTGAGATGTTATTATGTTTCATTAAACTGTTGCATTTTATAATTACACTACTTTTGCACAATGTTATTTGATGATGAAAACATCAAACATTTTTTATATGGCTTTAATGATAAATACAGAAAGTGCCATGTCGCTGATTAATAGAATATTTCATGGGATGAATTAATAACATGTTACCCTAGTTAGTAAAATTATTTCCAGGATGTATATCTTGGTACATGATATGATCATAAAAGTTCTTTAAACTTTTATTAGATGCCTAATGTATGAGTCCCACCCCAGATAAAAATCATCATAAAATGTTGACATGGGAACTTAAGATGAAGTTACATATTAAAGGTAGCATTTTACAAGAATATATCTGATCTTTATTATATTAGAACTTTTGTAATGGTCAGAGGAGAAAAAAGAAGGCCTAAGAAAGACAATTAGTGAAAAGTGTAAAACACCTTTACATAGTTTTTTGTGTTTTTGTTTGTATGATTGTGTACTTTTTGTGAGATCCACATGTGTTGATCACATGTTTTAACATCAAAATGAAAAGACATCAAAATAAGATTCTTTTTATTATTGTTATTTTACTTTCTTTAACTATCATCTTTATGGATTATTACACCTATTCATATAGTTTATGGCCAACCTAAGCTTTGTTGAGAAAATTTGCAATTAGCAAAACAATTGAACTTCGATATAGAACAGACCAGAAAATTGAGGATGGACTTGAAGAGAAATTCAGGTAATAGTTCCATGAGTAAGAGAGGAGACTGTACTGATATTAATTAATTTTTTTGGAAGGTGATAAATTGTTGCATGATTTCCACTTGAGTAACCCCACTCCCTATCTTTCCCCCACCTGACTCTGGACCCCACTCCCTATCTTTCCCCCACCTTCCTTTGCCCCAGAACAACAATCAGAATCTGTGTTTGCAACAATAAATATAGTTCAGTGTCATTTTCAGTAATTCAAAAACTAAAAGTAGAATCTTGAAAAAAAAATGTACCAAGTAGTAATTTTTTTAAAAACATTTTTGGCGCTTAATAAAAGTTCTATAATGTCATTTTTGGTGTTGCAAAGAAATGCTGCTCTATATTCTATATTTTTGTTTTTTTATGGGTGTTAGTCTTTCATTCTAGCCAGGTCCCTGTCCACTGATAAATGCTGTAGTGTAGGATGACAGTCTCAGTCACTGCGGGGCTTGGGGCCAGAAGTATAAAAGAGCAGCTTTCTATGACATTAGGCATACTTCTGATTTCCCTTCGCGGTGTGCACGTCACTCGGAAGGTATAGGTCACACCAGATGGGTGACCTTGTTAGGTCACTTAGCTGGTGTGACCTAACCACCCTAGCATTCATAAGCTTTATAGCTTTCTGCCCAATCCCAAAATGTACTTTGTAAATATTGTTCACTTGTTAAATGTTTTGTTGAATAAATATGTTTAAACCAAAGGGTGTGGCCCTAAAGAGAGCTGCTGCTCCCCGAAGAGGTGCTTTTCCTTTATTGTCTACTGCGTTCAGGAAGCGAGGAACTGGGTCCTAGAGAAGATCTACGATGAAAGACGGCATGAGAAGACCTCCGTTGTGGCTCTACGATCGGCGACGTTGCAGGTGAACTAATTCCTCCATTGCAGGCTCTACGACCAGCGACGTAACAGAGGCAGATAGTCTGGGACATATGGGAAACCGGCGCGCAGTATAAATAAAACTAAAAACACACACACATTAGGCACTAATCACCCTTAAAGTGACATTTTACCCATTTAAGTGTAAATCCACAGATAAAAGTGAAATAACTTTACATTTTTCCATAATTG